ATGTATGTGTGTGTGTGCGTGTGTGTGTGTGTGTATGTGTGTGTGTGTGAATGTGGGTCTATATAAGCATCTCTGTGTACATGTATGTATGTGTATGGTACATGCATGCACGTGTATGAGTCTATGTAAGCATCTCTGTGTACACGTATGTGTGTGTATGGTACATACACGTGTGTGTGTGCGTGTGTGTGTACAGGGACACTTATAGGTGTGAGGAAAGCACTTATGTTTTGTTTCAGGTGGGACATAGTGCCTAAAGCAGGTCTCTCCTTGTCCGACAAAATATCTTAGTTCTTTGAAAAATTGTGCAGGTGCAAAATCTCCGCTAATAAATACAAAAATAGCTCTACCAAAGACACAGTTGATCATGAGTTCAGTTACTGCGATGTTCCCGAACAGGCACTTAGTCAATACTTTTTATCTACCTCTCGCCTTCATCACTGCGTGTGTCTATTTTACTGCTTCCTTCCTTCTCCAATGGACTTAGGTCTGATTTCAGAAAAAAGTGCCTTAGGTTAGTCTGTAATGACAGCTATGAGGTGAGTGTTCTCCTGTCTAGAAAGATGTAGTAGTCTTAACAAAGAAACCCATATTTTATCATACTGTTTCATTAAGAATATATTCTGTAGTTTAAAATTTTTCTCAGAAAGTAGACTTTTTAACCTCCCTTAGTATTAAGAAGGGGGCCTGTGAATGAAGGAAATGAAAGGGAAAAAACCCCAAACTCACAAAATGTAATATACACACATAAGGCAAACACATTTTTTCCTGCGTAATTAATGTTATTCAGAAGCAAATAGCCCAATACAGTTCCTCCCTGTCTACAATTTCATCACCGATGTATGCTGTTTATTTATAATCTGATAGCTTGCTATTTAGAGGCAAAATATTTCCAGGACTTTGATAAGTTGAAAATATACCTCTGAAAGTGTGTAAATCTGCATTTATACGTTTGCTATAAAAGGTAGTTCTCAAACTCAAAACCAAAATATTTAGGAAAACATGGTGTGCATAAAATCATTACATGTTTTCTTTGCAAACTGCAGGATGAAGTTGTAAGTAGTAATCTGTTTCTTTTAAGATGCCTCAGTTGAAATATAAAGAAACAAAACACTGATGCAAGCAGCAGCTTGTATGGGTCTTAGTCTGTTATGTGGGGTAGGAAAAAACCAAACATCCAACCTCAAGAAGCACAGACCAAATGATTCCACTTCTCTAGCATTCTGGAAATGACAAAATTATAGAGATGGTAAACTGATCACTGGGCAGGGGAGCTAGCAGAGAAGGGAATGGGATCACAAGGGAACCCCCCAAGGGTTTTCTTTGTGGTAATGGAGCAGTTCCGTGACTTGAGTGTGGTGATTACATGAGCCTACGTGACACTGTCATGGATCTATACACATACACACAAGGAAAATGACCATACGCAAGCATGGGGTGTGTGCACTATGTGAAGTCCTGATGTTCTAGCACACTGCAGTTACTAAGACACTGCCACAGGGGCGAGTGAGGGAAGGAGTCTGTGGGAAGAGTATGTGGGACTTTGCTGTCCTATTTTTGCAACTTCTTGTGAGCCTATAATTATTTCAAAGTATAAAGATCTTAGACCTGTTGAAGGAAGGATTTCAGTTACTAATTAAACATACTTAGGAAGCAATTTAGTCAAAGACGCCTGTCTTTTCTGGAGGCAGGGATTTTAGATATAAACACCGAACACTCTCCATTTAACGTATGCTTGGTATCCAGGTCTGCAACTCCTAAGCTGTGTAATTGAAAGCAATGACTGTTTTCATTACTTCTCTAAAGCTGCAGAATCAGGACATTTCAGAGCAAGCAGGGACCTCACAGAGCATGTAGGCCAAGCTCTCAGGTTACACCTCTCTGGGTTTTGGTATCCTTATTGGTAAAGTGAGAGCTTTGCTCTAGTTTCTTCCTAGTGTTTGGCTTAATTCTAAAATTTAGAATCCACACCTTCCCAATACAAACTACAGAAACTTTAATGGCAATCTTCTAAGTTGTGCCTCAGTATTTATTACAAATATTCAAATGCATGTTGAGTCCAAATACATGTACATGCAGAAAGAAACTGTTCATTACATAACACTAGGTCATATATTAAAAACAACTGGAAAGCAAACTAGCCAAGCACTTAGTGAAGGTTATGACTTTTCAGGACTTGAGATGACTGACCATCACATCTTCCTTGTACAAATCATAGTGCTGGTAACCACCCTTACTTGCATAAAAAGCGAAGGTTTACATGGGTCAGCGCTGCCCAGTGAGGGACCCTTCACAGCCCAGCAGACCTCCTACATAAGTTCTGGGGAGACTCTATTAAAGCAAACACTAAAATTCAGGAGGCTTGGGAGTGGTCACTATCATTTATGCATACATGAAGATACTCTCTCAATGACCAATGCATGACATATGACTGAAAACTGTAATGAAAAAATTCTTACAGTGAAAGACATAGTCATTAATCCTCCTTAAATGCCCTCCTCCTCCCTTCCAACATACTTATTCTATCATCCTTGCTACCTTGTGAGGCGGTTCTGGAAGTCTTTTGTATCTTTAGCTCTGTTCTTATGGCTGCTTCCATATCCTGAATGAATTCAAAATGTCTAACTTTCACGGTCACTTCAACTTTAAGGGAGGGCCAGAAGACGCAGTGCAGATCTGTGAATTAACTGGATGGGGACACACTGTAATAACGCCTTTTCATTGGATAGCATTTGGCAGCAGCAAAATGGCACTGTATTTTTTATCACACCTTATAATCCTCACTAAAGAGGACTTCCAGGACTGCTTCAGAAAGTGCCAAGAATGCTAAGTGTGTTTGAAGGGAGGGGGAGCGTTTGCAGCAGGAATTAAGGCCAAAGTGTCTTTTACTGTAATATTTTTTAAAAATTTAAACATTCCGTGTGTATTTGGGTCACACTTTTTAGCTTAACCTTCCTTATACAGCTCAATTACTTTTCTTCATAGAATGCTAAAAACTGATTACCTTGGAAAACTGAATGCAGTTTAAGAAGCAGCTCAGAATCCCTAGGGCCGTACCTTACCTTCTGATAGCATGAGTAGAACAAAATGATCTGAACTGCAGTAACTTTCTGTTTTTTGGTACTGATTTTCCTGGTCTATGATCATTTAAATCAGTCCTTTAAGCAAAAACAAAAATAAGTGACTCGCAGCATTAGTAGAATCATTTTATTAACAAAAGGAACCCACAGGGTTCAAACAAGAGTACAAAATACAATCTTTTGTTTTTCTTGTGGGTTAAACTGTTACATTTTTAACAAAAATAAAAAAAGCTCTCAGAGTTAACTTATCAAAAAAAGTATTCCCTGCCTACTGAGTTTCTTACTGTGCAAAACGAAAACACCAAAAGTAAAATTTTACCCAGGGAATGAAAGAGTTTGTGTGCCAAGCAACGCACATTTTCAATTTCAAACTTTTGCATCTAAACAAAAATTCTAAGGCCACTTTTTTTCCCAAACTAAACAAGAGCAAGAGGAAAATAAACAAGAACACAATAGCAGCTAAAGTTTTTTTTCATTCACATATTTTCTGTGTGCCAATGTAGTTTTTTACATTCATAAAATGATATCTCGATTATAAAAAGGTATGCAGTTTCAACCCACTGCTTAAGGTCAGGCAGATGAATATCAAGTCATACCTTTAATCTATTCCCTTAAATGTCAATTTTGCTAGGCAGGTTTCATAATTTCTGTAGTCAAAAAGCTAAAGCAATCCTCCTGAAGGATTCCATTAAGAGGTTGCTTTTCTACATGAAGCCAAATAATTAAACTTTCTCTATCCATACTTTTTGAGTTTTTCTTTCTCTTTGTTTTGTTTTCATGGACATGGAGGATGTCTTTTTTTTTTTTTTTTTTGGTTTTCTTCCGGTACCAGGAACTGAACTCATGACTTTGCGCTTGCCAGGCAGGCGCTTTGCCGCTGAGCTAAATCCCCAGCCCCCCCATGGATGATGTCTTGACCTGGCACGTAAACGATATCTTTAAAGTCAATAAATAGCTGAAATGAGCTGTTTGAACAGCACTTAAATACACATACCTGTTTAAAGGCATACAAAAAAACCAAAGCAAAGTAAAAGACCTTTAAAAACCAAAGCAAGGAATAAATTTTGTGACAACTGTACCACAATTACTGGTATAGCCATTAGACACTGTGGTTTTAAATGGTTTCTTGTAATGAAAACGTGTTTGATGTTTCATATTAAGGAGATAAGAAATACATCCAGGGGCTGAAAAGCACACATTTACCTAATGTTTGTAGAAAAAATCCCTGATCAGATGGCCAACTGATTTTCAAATACAAAATTTGGCTGTATAAGAATTTTTGTATTTCTAAGTGAACACACTGACTAATCACTTCATCAAATGGAGTACAATATCTGCCTGGGAAGCACCAGGGTTTCTGGAACAAACCCTTGGGAATCAGCTGGTCCAAAATTTCTATTATGGGAATTCCTATCTCCCTTTCCCTTAGTGTCCAGAAATGCTCTCAGCTCACACCACCAACAGATCGATGGAAAAGCCAGTGAGCATGTGACCGTGAATAGGAGACAGGGGACAATAAACACACTGCCTGGAGCAGCAGCACGATCCTGTTGGTCTGAATATCCTGAGGTTAAATGACAACAAAATATTGCACCAAAACAATAAAGTCACAGTTTAAACACAATTACTCAATACTTGGAATAACAATGTGTTATGCAGTGACTACCGTGAGTCTGCTTAAGTCTCTTAACAGGAAATTAAATTTATGCCTTTTCTTTTTTTTCTTTTAAATAGTATTTCTACCTTTTCTTGAGTTTACATTTACTTTGAAATGCCTTTAGGTACACATATATTTGTTTCCATTTAATGCCAACCATACAGATTTTTTCCCTTGGTTTAAGTTCAGATTAAATGATAGGTGAGATGAGACTGCTGCTATAAATAGCAGAAACACCAAGTACGGTTCAGCAAGCCTAGAGTTTGGAAAAGCTATCTGATAACCCCACTAGAGGTAGGTTAAGATAATGCCTTTTTGTGACTGTGTGGTTATCAAGGCATCCTAAAGATGTGACCTTCTCTTCCCGCCTCTTTCTCTTGTGCCCTTAGAAAATTAACATATGAGGACAAACGAACATATATCCTGTTTAAGTACTTCGAGGTTGCAAAAAGTACAGCTTTCAACAAGACACATTTCCACATTACAATTTATCTTTCCCATTTAAAGTGGCAAGCTTTCCAAGGAAGCCTTTGCCAGTTTCCTAATACTGGATAGCCAATTTAGAAAAGTGTATTTGAACCTACTACAGAAAGAGTGGAAACTGTATTACCTGTTTAGGACCTTATGTGACCATGATCTCAAGAAGGGGAACGTTGCCAGGACCTTGATCCTCGATCTGGTAGAAGGACAGGAAATCATGAAGACCCTGGAACCTGAAGATCTCACTGAGTATTTAGGGTAGGCCACTTTCGGGCACGTGTCTGCACGGCTACACGCTCGAAACCAAGTCTGCCTATTGAATCCACATTGCCTTAAGTTCCGAACACATTTGCTTCTCTTTGCAAAGCCTTCTGAGAGGCTTCCTTGCTCTGGCCTCCACTCCACAGAATCCCTCCTCGCCGATCAGCCGGCCTCCCTCACTTCCTCTACCTCTATCAGCACTTCCGCTTCCCCTCCTCCAGTCACAGTGTCATCCCATTCCCAACGGCGACAGACGGCCCTCACAGACACTTGTGCAGCCGTTGTCTTGGCCCACTAGAAAGTTCTAGCGATCTTTAATTTCTATTGTCTTCAGTCTTGATGTTCATTTATGGTCTTAAGTTAATCCTTCCACACTCTCCCCCAGAAAGGCAGCGGGGAAAGAACCAACATTCCAGTTTGATGATGAACACAGTGATTTCCGGATGTTCATTCAGAGAATGAAGGAAACAGGCTGGGTCTCCTCTATGTCGCTAGGATGTGGATCAACCTGCAAAAAAGAAGACTGAGATTACTGCTGTGGCATTTTTAAATGACTCTACAACCTACTTCTCATTACGTGATGCCTATGACCTACATTGTTCAGAGTCTATTATCTGTTAGCAAGTTCCAATAGGCTGTGAAGTTCTGTGCATTCCAAGGCCACATAAAACATCTTTTTTGGGGGGGGCGGTACTGAGGATCGAACTCATGACCTTGCACTTGCCAGGCAGGCGCTTATACCACTGAACTATATCCCCAGCCCCACACATACAACATCTTAAAGGCAATCATGGTACTGTGTATGCACGCTATAGCTCAACAGGAAAATAGCAGAGGGCAAGCTAAGTGGATCTGTGATAATCTATAGCCACTGTGAAAGCAAATTTATAACTATCCTTTACTAATTATGAATCAGCAACACACACCTTAAATGAAGGGAGGAGGGCAAATGATTACTGGGCAACAGCGTAATAAAATTCTAAGCTTCTTTTGCTTTGTTTACCTCTGAGTAAAGAGGTGGAGGCTGAAATCGGAACTCTTGGATGCAGGCAAGCATCGGGTAGCATGCTTCTCCTTCACAGCCTGGGGGCTGAGGGTACGGAGGAATGTGTCTGGAGAATTCTTCCTCTGACACCACATCCGCGTAATTTGGGGGTGCTGAAACAGAAATGGAGATGGAGCTGAGAAATATCCACAGAAACTAGTTTTTCTGAACACTTTCAAAAGTGAGAAATGTAGCTAACCTGAAGATTACAATAAGGCATTTTTTCTCTAGTCAGCAAGCTTTTATGTGTGTTACAACAAAGAAACTTTGCTCCTGTTTTTACAAAACTATCGCTAACAATGATTGAGGAGCGTGTAACAGGCTAGGCAAGCAATTATCACTGAGACTGGCCACAGAAAAGATGCAACCCTCGACACTTTTATTTGCCTATTTGTTTTTTTTTACAATTACAAATTGGCACTACGAGATGTACATTTCCTTCTCAAGTCTGACATCAAACAGCTTTGTGTCCTGGGTAAGTTAAGTTTTTGATGTCTCTTTTATGGTGTTTTGTAGGCTAATTGTACCAGATGTAATAATTCACATTTGAGTGCTTACTATTTTACAGTCCTGCTCTTAACTACTTTCTGTATAAAACTTCATTGTGAAAGAACTTCGAAGTGTTTTACCTTCAGGCTGCTCTGGCAGGGTCAGTGTCAGCCAGCTCATGTCCATGCTGAACTGGCTGGCAATGCTGGAGTTTCTGCTGCCAAAACCATTATACGGAATTGTGCCAATGACTAAGGGCAGCTCGAGCATCAGCTTTTTAGCACCGGGAATGTGAATGTATACCTGACGTGTCAGAAAAAAAGACAAAGGCACAGATACATTAAACCACGTAGGACACTGCCCTAGGAGTGTCTTTTTTCGCAGAAAGGAATGAATTCCTTTGTCAACTACTACCCCACTCCCATTTCACATGTAGACAATCCTGACTCAACAAAATGAACAGAGTGAAGAGTATACAAAATACAGAGAACACTCTGTGACAGGGATCTGGGGCCTTCACATCCTTTCGTGTAAGCTGGCACTGCTTACAATTACACAAAATCAAGTGTGTGGCTTTGGTGTGACAGGTTCCCCGTAACACACCACAATCCCTTTATGTTACTTTATTTCATTCCATGGAAGAGTGATAGATTTTTAGTAAAAGCAAAAGGCAATTGTTATACAGTCCACAATTAGTAGTAATGGCGACAAAGAATGACAGTTTCGTAAGTACCAACTTAGAAACACACAGCAACCTGCCTCCAGTTATTGCTCCATTTTATATATTTTTAATTTTAAAAAGAGCTTGCTTACAGCTAAGGAATAGTCCACTCTGATAATGCAACAATCCAGGATGGAGGGAGTGACAGGTGGAATTTTTAAAGTCTTCCCATTCCATATGTCGGTGCTCCCGGAAGCAATGTGGTTTCCTCGCACGTTAGCAACCATGTGACGGAAGGTCTTTGTTTTTCCGCTGGCCAAGTATGTCTGGGTTTGGAAAATAGCCGCTTTGGGAACAATCAGCCTAGATGAACAGTTTTCTATTTCTGCATAAATAGGTATAGCTTCTCCTAGAAAGAAAACAAAGGATGGATTCAGAAACTTTTCAAAATATTCTTAGCAAAATGGAATAAGGCATGCATACAGAGGATAGCTAACATAGTTGTACTACTGACTTCTGTCACCTTACTGAAAGGAATGGTTAATGATTAATTATTTGACCAATCTTACATGTCTATATTTGTTTTCCTGAGTAACCGCTTTGGAAATATCAATAAGTAATACAACAACCATTGTCAATTTCCTAACACCTTGTCTGAAATTCAGTACTGCTTGTATTGTTCTTGTGTTATTTTGTAAATGTATGTGTGTTTGTTAATATGTTTTCATTCTTTTATTTTTAAAATTTAAAAAAATGGAATAAGGCCATTACCAATCAAAGTTGAAATGTTCCAACATTACTTGGACAAATTGAGAAGCCCTGATGGAAAATGTGTATTATAATACTGAGTTAGATAAATGAAAACTCACTGTAGTTTTGGTGGATATTATTTTCTAATATTGAATTATTTGCTTTTGCAATAATGTAGCAGTATTACAGGAATAATTCTAAGATATGCAAATGATCAGTATGCATATAAATTAAGGCAGTGTTTACAAACAAGTGACTCAGCATGATGTGTTAAATAAACAGCATTAACAAACTCACCTATCAGATTAAAATCTGCCCAACAGGAGACCAAAGCTTTTGCTTTCAAGGAATTAAAACTGAGGCATGAACAAAACAATGGCTAGGATATGTACGTTTTATAACATTCCCCTACGCTGTTTCATAGGACATTCATTTCCAACAAGGCAGAACCTGGGAGTGGGAGTCAAATATGCTCTAGGAATTGGGCCCTTCACATAGAGTAGTTCTGATACAAACATGCCTAAAGTTTGTTAATGCTTCATGTTCTAAGCCCATACATTTCTATATTCAGGCCAGCACGGAATCAGAGTGCTAATAGTAATTTCCCACTGCAGTTGTCTTCGGGGGGTCTAACTCTAGCCATTCTTTTTTGGCATTCAGCTCATACAGTATTTCCACACTCTTCTGATTTTATCTTTGTTCCTAAAATATCAGGATCCAAGACAGAGATATCAAAAGTTTGAGTGGAACCTATTCATCTACTTAAAATATTTAAATATCAATTATTTCTATTCAAACTAGAATTTATTATTCATGTTTTAAAATATGCTATATTGTACAAACTATAAAACACACTTTAAGTAAAATTAGTAAAATGAATAAATCTTTCATCTGCACTTTCAAATAAGTTGCTTACCATTACAGTAGCCCTTTCTTTCAATCTTGGCACTCAGCGAGACTGGACCAGACGTGAAAAACCAACAGCCAACCATTTTTTCTTGAGTTTTCAATACAGGAGTCTTGAAAATTTCAAATAAAATGACCTTACTTAAGCCATTCTAGAGCACTCAGAGAACTTAAAAATTACATCTCTCATCATACAACAGTTGTAAAGAAATTACTTTCATATTTCCATGTGACATGTCAGGCAGAACATGTACTGCAACATGAAGTGCTAAAACTTATTTCCTTCTTAGGAAAACTAGGGTGAATGTTTAGAATTAACTGGGCATAATATCCACCTATTTTACCCTGGCCTTATTGTATTTCTAGGAAAGGATATACTATCCCTTAAAAAAGGCAATACTTATGTATGTATATTACTGCATAAAAACATGTCAGAATTTTTTAAAAACTTTATATACAGGTCAAATGAAGGGAGAAATAATATAAAATCAATAATCAGAATATCATATTTGTTTTGGCACTTACTGTGTGGAATAAGCAAATAGTCATGTTTTATCATATTGGACAAACATTTCAAGTGGTCCTGGAATCGTCTGGAGGCTTTGTGCAATAGTGCAACAACATACTCATTATTTACTGATCTGCAAGGCTACTGAATACATTATACCTTACTATAGTATCTAATTGTAGTCTTTAATCTTTTTTTTTTTGGTACTGGGAATCAAACTCATGACCTTGCACTTGCTAGGCAGGTGCCTGTGCCACTGAGCTATATCCCCAGCTCTGTATTCTTTAGTATCAAGAAAAATGACGCAAGGTTTAAGATGCTCTGTTTCCAAACTGTATACAACAAAACTTTCTGTAAAGTCCCAAGTTACTCGTAATAGTTTTTTCCTTTATAGAAAGAATAGTAAAGAATAACTAGAATTTGTTTTTGGCCCAAACAAAATCCTTTGAAATAATTTGCAGTAAAGATTATAAAGACTTCAGAAATGTTTAACCTCCCAATTTCAAGTAGATTTTAAAAATACAAGACAGGGCTGGGGATATAGCTCAGTGGCATAGTGCTTCCCTGGCAAGTGTGAAGTCCTGAGTTCGATTCCCAGTTCCACAAAAAAAAAAAAAAAAATTCCAAATTAAACATACAAGACATGTAGCATCATCAATTTTCAAAAAGGGTTTTAAGGAGGTATTAAAGTTGTAGCTATAGACCAGTGAGCTGGTGCTGGCTATTTAATATTTTGGTCCACAAGAAACTATCAACCATGGCATATTTGTTATCTGTTATTCAGAGGTGAACACTACAGTGAATTCTGTCTTTTTTTTATGTGAAAATAGGGGTTAGACAACTCGTAACTGTTGGCTTTTTTCCTTGTCTTTAAAAACACTGCTAGCAAAAGAATAGATCTTTGTCACATGAGTATCATGACAGGAAGTTTAAATAATCTAAGTATTTTCTATGAAGTAAAAAAATCATTCATTCATATTTAAATGAAGAACCATTAGGTCCTCGCAGCTATCATGAAAGTACAAGGTATAATTTTATATTATTTTGATAATATGGGTTTAGATAAAAGAATCCAGCTCATTAGCTCCCATCTTGCCTATTCTGTTGTTACTTATAGCCTGATCTTTCTTATCAGTCTACAGTATTTCTGGTGATTATTAGAAGTTCAATGCTTTAATGTGGCCAAATCTGTCATAAGGAAATGATAAGTGAAAGGATCTCGGCGGCAGCTGCGTGTACTTACTTAATGTTAGAAAATGACATGCAAAATGGAAGGATACATAGCATAATGGCCTGAGCTTCAATAACAGGCTGAGCATGATTAATACTCTTCCATAATTACTGTTCCTCAACCTGCTATTATTGCAGAGTTTAGAATACCACAGTCCTGTGAATGTAGCCACTTTGGTAAAAGTAACTACTCTCTGTGTGTGCATTATTGTTATTAAGCCTTATTAATGCATTTCAAGCCTGTGTAACTTTTTGGCAAAAGAAGCCCTGAACAGCAGGGACATAATCAACAGTATTAACACATATAATTTGTAATTTGCCCAACCTAGAATCATATGTTTATAGTGAATGCCTATGGGTTACAAGATTGTATTTTTGAAACCATCAGAAAGTGACAGGACAGACTACCACTAAACTTGTTAAATATAGACTTCACTATTGAAGGGAAGCAGGAATGGACCAAGGGAGAAGGAGAGGAAGCAGGAAGAACAAAAGGAAGAACTTACCAATAATGCTGGTGTGTTGACATCAACATGACTAACAACCTGGAGTTCCCGTCTTACACTCTGATCGGGTACCTTGGGTCGTTCTAAAACTGCCCTCACACAGTATTGAATACTTCCATATTTCCCAGTAAATGAGGTCACCAAAGGTCTGAAACAAACAAAAGACATTAATTTAAGAGTTTATTTTTCAACAAAGCCAAAAAAGTATGGTTTAAAATGATGGCTTAGGTTGAAAAATCAAGAGTAAACAGGCATGTCTATAATGGCAGTTATTTGGAATAAAAGTGCATACTTCAAAAGCAGAAGATATGCAGTATACTCCAACATTCAGATGGACATAATTCAGCGAAAGTCACAAAACTGTATAGCTTCACTTACTCAGAAGGAAGTTGAAAGCGAAAAGGAAATTCATGTTTTCCAGGCTGTAATAAAACGACGCCTTCGCCTATAAAAGAGATTGTTTTGTATTGTAACTAAGGTTAGTATTTGCATCAAGACTTTTCATAACCTAAGTCATATTTTTAAAGGTTTTCATGGCTATAAAATGCAGTATACTTCAAAAGTTAATTAAATACATGTAGAGTATTGAATGTGAATTGATTTTCACCAAGTAACACTTAATACATATGTACACACACACACACACACATAACTTCCATCTTCCAAATGACCAATTATGCAAGTAACCATCATAAAGTGCTAGAGCTGAGGACACCAATGTACATATACATGTGTATACACACAAATGTGGAACTGTGTATTTATGCACATACAAAAACAAATTGTTTATCCTACTCCATTATACTAACAGGAGATAGCGATATTAAATTGAGCTAAAGCTAATTTAACAGAAGAGATTTATTTAGGTAGACCATAAAACTTTACTATGTATTCTTTAGGCAGAGACAGAAAAGTAAAAAATAATTTTAAGTATTAATAGTGGGTATAATACAAAACAGCCAAACCAACAAGACAAGCTACTAAACAAGAATCAGGTATTTACCCTTGAGTTTTACTAAGATTAACATGGTTCTGGGGAGAGGGGGATCTGTGTGGGATTCACTAGTAGGGCCTTGACCCCAAATGCTGCTCTGGGCTGCCAGCTTGGCTTTATTTCATGCACAGACTGAACACTACCTGTGAGAAGGCCAAACAGAGGGTGTGGATAGACTCTGTCGGGCCAGGGGCACTAGAGCCTCTGATGAATGTACCTAGACACTCTGTTTAATTCAGATCCAAAGTAGACTCATGGATTCCAGGACTGGTCAGGTAGCTCCCGAAATATTCATAAATTTTTCCTGCATTTCATGCTCAGATTGAAGACTACCATCTCTTCCTTGGGCATGGGATAAGTAAGACAAAGAAGAAAGTGCAGAGGACTTTGAGATTTGCCTGGTTACCAGACACTAAAGTGAGGATTTCTGCTTTATCCGTTACAAAAAAAAACCCAGAAGAAAAAAGCAAAACAACCCGACCATCCAGGAAGGTGGGGTACGCCTGGCACCTTGAGCACCCGAGAACTGGAACAGAATGAGTGGAAGGGGCTTGGATGAAGTGAACAGCACCAGGAAGCATGTCAGGCCTGTTGAGAATAGCACTGCCCCAGATCACTGAAAGGGACAGAGCTAAGAGAAAGATGAAGTTCCCTTTTCCAGAGAAAACGTAAACACAGGAGTTACATCACTTAACACGGGACCTTCAACCATGCTAAAATATGAAACAGAACAATTTGAGCAAACATAAACACGGGCTTTAACTTTAGGAACAAAAATTTTTCTCATTGATTTTAATTACAAATGTTCACAAGCTAGACCTTAGACCCATTTCTGCTTCTGGTCTCATGGCTTATTACTTCTGCCTTGTACAGAGGACTGCAATGTAAGAGTGAGACATTTCATTTGCTAATGGCCTTACGCCAACGCTCATAATTAAAGGTTCTCATGAGCCACGGGATCTAGAAGACCATTTCAGAGACAGAGGTTGGCTGGGAAGAGTGACGGGGTGAAGGACTTGCCTAAGGTCACATGGCTCGTGCTGCCCCAGAACCAAACCCAACTCTCTGGTTCTGTATTCTTGTCTTTGTGTCACAATCCCTCAGTAAAAATATGAAGAACATTAGTCACAATGATAGCAAGGTTAGATTGACAATGCCAAAGTATTATATGGGGAGATTTTTTTAATTTTTTGAAATTGGATCCCAGGGCTATATTTCTCAGAAATCTAGATCTCTAAAAATCTCTCTATAAATCTCTAGATCTCTAAAAATCTCTTTGGATGATTGAAAGATGGCCTGGTTTTAAAATCAAATGATCCTGAGAATGTATAACTGCGCGAAGTGGCTCACTTTTCCTGAAGTTCAGACATCAGGAGTGATCTCCCCTCAGTTAAAAGAGACTATGGTTTTAGGTAAAATATAAGTGTTGATAGTGTTTGTGATGATACATTCCAACACAAGTTGAAGATTTTCAAATTGCGCCTGCTCAGATGCTTCAATTCATTAGAATGAAGGAACAAGACCCTACTTGTGAATCAAACTGATACCTGTAATTTTACCAATCACAGACATTACCAAAGCCGTTTTCATTGTGAAGCCCAGGCTCAACTGCCTTTACTGTTACATCTATTTACTCAGAAGTTATGGGCTCAGGGAGCCGAAAGAGTTAGACAAAAACCATTTGCTTCTCTCTTCCATAGCTATTTCCTCCAGGGAGCCATCTTGAAAATCCATGTTGGCTGTGACCACTGGGGAGGCCACTGGGTGATCCTGAAACTCCTTCTGATGGAGGAGTAGGAAGGGAGATAAGAACTGTCACCTTCCATACTTCTTATTCAACCAAAATAGAGCTTTGGCGCTAAATATTATTTGCCTCCATATGTTTCGGGGATCCCTGAGATTATCACACATTTGGAGGATTTGGACAGTCTGCTTCTCCACAGTGGGCTAAGACACAACCACATTGTACTTCATGTAAGTTACAGCAAGGTTTATACGGCTAGATACAATGCATTTTACTTTTCAAATTTAATAGTTAAAAGTTGAGGAGGCAGAAAGGTACAAGTTCAACCCCTGGCTGAGAGAGAACTAAGAATCACTGGTCTCAGTGATCTCATTATTTTCACGATTATTAAGGAAATCAATGTTTGTACCTAGTATTATGCCAATACCCACATAGTTGGTCCCGACAAGGTCACTTTCTGGAAAAGTCAACACTATGAACACCAAGGTGCACAGGAAGGAGTAATCGGAAATGCTCACAGGGCTTTTGTCTCCAGAGGTCTTTGGGGAAAGCAAGCAGCAGGAGGAAAACGATGCAAAGGGAAGCAAACGGCAACATCAGGTGGGGCAGAACTGGTGAGAAAGAGACCCTGCTTCCCGGAGGAGGGAACCCAGGTCAGGATGGCCAAATCTGGGGACTCTGCCTTTGAACAATCCCATGCAGAACTCCTTCCTTCTTCCTAAGAATGACTTTCTGCCAATTCATCCGGAGGAAGGGAGAGAGACTGTCCAGCTCTGGGATGGGAAGGAATGGGGGCCCAGGTAACACTCGGCATGCCCGAATGGGAGGGCTCGCATCCTGGTTCCACCGTCCATGCTTCCGGCTAGAAGGCACCACGACCCCTGGATCCCTAAATGCCTAATCCCAGGTTCCCATGACAACCGCCAGCTTCTTCCAGAAGATCTTGGGATGCCCAGGGCTTCTCCGCCTCTGCAAGCCGGGGCGGGAGCCAGTCGGAGCGGCTCACCAGCGCGCAGCCCGGGCTCCCGGCCCCTGCCCGGCGGACCCCGCCCTCCCGGGCCCTCCCGAGGCTCCGGCCCCGGTGCTCACCGGCCTCGGGCTCGCGCAGGCTCAGGCGCACGTTCAGGTACTCCACCTGCGAGGCGGCGGCGGTGGCCCGGCCTTGGGCCTCCAGGCGCAGCGCGCGCAGGGCCACCGGCTCGCAGGCCTCCAGCAGCACGTGCCCGGCCACCGTCTCGCCGCTGGAGTAGCAGCCCTTGCGCTCGTCCTCGAACACCAGCCCCAGGCTCTTCACGCGGCCCTCGCACCCCACGGCCGCCCGCGACCCCGCCTCGCCGCCCATCCCGAGGGGGG